TATGACGTCACAATCAATAATTACAATATACATATGGGTCGAATTGACGAACTGTTGTAACTGTAAATAACCATTTTGAGTTGTGTAATCATCATTGTTAATACAATATTTATGAAAAAACAGTCAAACAATCAGAGTCATTCCAGCGATTGATTCCCACGGTTTACTTTTGCTTGTGTTAAGCATTTAATTGATAAAGAAGACCATCTGGTATGGACATCTACGTTTGGTAGATATAGTACAACACATATAATAATTCACAATCGTATACTTAAATCATTTTTGTTATCTCTATCGTCGTTAAAGTTATTCAGATTTTTTATCGCCCTTCCTTGTATAATACGTGAAAACACTAAATAGAATTACGTAAATTAATTTCAAACAAGAAAATGGTTGTGTGACTCTTTATAAAATCTTTTTTTATCAAAAATATGTTTGTTGTCTTTTAGGGAGCAGATAAACAAGAAGGGAAGGACAAAGACCAACAAGAAAACAAGGAAAACTAGTACATACACAACGACAAAGTTATTATTGGTTTTTAAAAAAAAAGGGAGATCTCATATGTCATAACAAACTATCAATCAGTTGCCAGTCTGTTGACCTTTGACCCAAAGGCAAAGATACAAAACGAATTAGGATATTTCTTCGTCGAAAAACATTCTAGAGAGACTTCCTGACAATAAATGAGAACTTCTTTCTTGACCAGTAAAATATATATTTTACTTCCACGAAAATTCACAATTTGTACACTAATCACTGACTCGTAAAGTACGTGTCAGGAACGACAACTCGGAGACAGCGTCCGCGTTTATCATCTAAGAAACAATATACTCATTTGTAGCCAGCTTCCTTAGACTTGGTACATATTTGTGCTGGCAAAGATGAATTTGGACAAAAGAATGAAGTTTAAATGAAATGCTATTTATGTATTACATATAAATGGTATTATTTAATTCTACTTACATTTTCTCTTTCCACGGCAGATAGACAGTAGACAGCGGGTCAGAACATTCTGTTGCTAATCAACAGTAGTAAATCATATCACGTTAACATAAACGGTTTATGGGTGTTTAATTCAAACAGAAGTTTAGGTTCAACCGTTTGACGGCGGCAGTCCACTCCTTCGTTACCGGGTTTTAATCGAACGCGCCGACTCGCGCCTTACTGAGGAAGCTATATGATGTCACAAACTCTGACTATGATGAGAAAATGATAAACCGACAGCTAATCAAGGGTCATAAACTATCACCTTAGCTTTGTTGTGATCATATCAACCGATACGTGATATTTTCACTTCTAATCCTTTAATAGCCTCCCAAGACGAAACTTTTTGATTTGGGGACAGGGCTACCTGTTTTGTGTTTGTGTCATTACTAATAACGACAGACATCACACCCGATATGCACATATACAAAATGGTGGTTAAAGCAATGGATATTTATTCAATAATTAAATCTTATTACATATCAATGCAACATATCGAACGGAAGGACACATTTTAGAATTATCTTAATCCCTTTGATAAAGATCACATACATACTCATGGCATACTACACATATTTGTAATGTAAATCATAAATATAAAATGTTGCTATGGTGTACCATTTTTTGATACGTTGTCAAGGGAAAATAAAAATCACGTGACTTTATATTACTCTCAAGTTTTCTCTGCAGATAATTCAAGATGGCGGCGCCGAATATACACGAAGATACACTGCCCCTACCTTCCCATTACACGCTTTACACGTGATGTTTTAGATAGTTTTGTTTGGAAATTTGCCGGTGTTTCCAGGATACTGTTTATATAGAATAAGGACCATGTATTCGGAGATGGCAAGGTATTTTTATTCTTATTTATGTTTGACTTATAAAAAATCCATCTGAATCTACCGACTTCGACATTTTAATCCATGTACGGTATGCATGTGAAAATGACGATTTATTTTCACAATTATTGTTTGAATGTCTACCCAGGTTCAGGTCTCTTATTGCCTTCACTTTTTATAGGGACGGAGTTCTGATAAACGAATAATTCTAGCTACTGGCTGTATAGTCTTACGCTCAACCGAGTTGTCAGTCCTCATCACGTATTGTTTTTTTATTTACATTTTTATGCAATCATGATACATAATATAATTGGTAGAAAATAGCAGTTTTTCAGAATATATTAGTACTTTACTTATTAAGCGTTAAATAATCTATTTTTGTTATCAAAATAATCAAAATATTATTTCTTGATGAAGTTAAATATACACATTTGTTTATTTATTTACAAAAGTAATGTTTATGCCCACGACTGATATACAGTCTGATATGATATAAACAAGTAAAGTCAACAATGCGATGGTTAGCAAACAGGAAGATATTTTTATGTTTTATTTTTTTTAATTGGTTAATTAAATTTAATAAAATGATCCTTTTAATAGATAAATAGATTAATTAATCAATTTATCTATTTTTTCTATTAATACTATTTTTAATTTTTAAGAGTCTTTTTTTGCTTTTGATTATGTGTAATAATGTTACGACACACACAGAAGAAAAACTATAAATAGATGGAAAGTGGCCTTTAGAGACACTTCTCGTAAGGTATGACAGAGTTACCTCCCTTGCCTTAACGTTATTCGTTCAAATAGCGCACTTCAAAATAAATCTTATACACAGAAAAGTTTAATAATCAACGGAAGTGCGTTAGAACTTGTAAGTGATGCTAAGCGCACATAATTCAGAGAGGTTAGATACTGGAAACTTTTAAAACTTTTCAAAAGGGAAGTAAATATGAATACCGACAGAGAGGTAATACTCTTGTCACATGATTGAATAAATGTCGTAATTTTCAAAATAAGATCACATAATATTAGATATAAATAATCTGAACAGAGCAAATATTTATATAAGGTTAAAACGTGACTTGCATACAGCTGGTTACTGCAAAGTTTATACTATACAATCTCAAAGATTTTTTTTCAAAAAAACATACAATTGAACTGCCTATTTCGACACATATTTTTGTCGGTATAACCATGCATCAAGCAACATCATACAGTTGTTACTACTTTAGGACCCGCCAATGACACCACTGTTGTTATGGAATGTATGTATGGCATGCAGGGTTGTAAAATTCTCGGGTTCTAATGTCCACCCTTACTGTCTCAAAAAGATGTACAAAAGACACAGGAATCAACAGCATCTGTGTTTTTCAATATGAATGAAGAATTTGAAGCAGAAAAAACACTAACAATGAAATAGATTGTGAAAATGTGTCTATGAATTGTCTTCCTTATACCGTTTAATTCCTATTTTTAATGGTGGTAGTTTTCAGTGTAAATTTGCATATTCATTTTGACGATTTAATGTGGCTTTCAACTGATCACATCAAACACGATCTGAATACTGACGCCTTGCTTTGGGAATTTCAATTCAGATACTAGTCGATGAAAGATATGAACAAAGCTGTGGTGCGCATTTTCACATACTTTATGATTCAGGGGACTGTGACAGATCCTTGACTCCCCATTAGTGTATCACATCACAGGGGACTGTGACAGATCCTTGACTCCCCATTAGTGTATCACATCACAGGGGACTGTGACAGATCATTGACTCCCCATTAGTGTATCATATCACAGGGGACTGTGACAAATCCTTGACTCCCCATTAGTGTATCACATCACAGGGGACTGTGACTTATCATTGACTCCACAATAGTGTATCACATCACAGGGGACTGTGACAAATCCTTGACTCCCCATTAGTGTTTCACATCACAGGGGACTGTGACAGATCATTGAATCTACAATAGTGTTTCGCCATCACAGGGGACTGTGTCAGATTATTGACTCCACAATAGTGTATCACATTACAGGGGACTGTGACAGATCATTGACTCCACAATAGTGTATCACATCACAGGGGACTGTGACAGATCATTGACTCCACTGTGACAGATCATTGACTCCACAATAGTGTATCACATCACAGGGGACTGTGACAGATCATTGACTCCACAATAGTGTATCACCATCACAGGGGACTGTGACAGATCATTGACTCCACAATAGTGTATCACATCACAGGGGACTGTGACAGATCATTGACTCCACAGCAGTGTTTCGCCATCATGGGGGACTGTGACATATCATTGACTCCACAATAGTGTTTCGCCATCACAGGGGACTGTGACAGATCATTGACTCCACAATAGTGTATCACCATCACAGGGGACTGTGACAGATCATTGACTCCACAATAGTGTATCACCATCACAGGGGACTGTGACATATTCTTGACTCCACAATAGTGTATCACCATCACGGGGGACTGTGACAGATCATTGACTCCGCAATAGTGTATCACATCACAGGGGACTGTGACAGATCATTGACTCCACAGCAGTGTTTCGCCATCATGGGGGACTGTGACATATCATTGACTCCACAATAGTGTATAACCATCACAGGGGACTGTGACAGATCCTTGACTCCCCATTAGTGTATCACATCACAGGGGACTGTGACAGATCATTGACTCCACAATAGTGTATCACATCACAGGGGACTGTGACAGATCATTGACTCCACAGCAGAGTTTCGCCATCATGGGGGACTGTGACAGATCATTGACTCCACAATAGTGTATCAACATCACAGGGGACTGTGACAGATCATTGACTCCACAGCAGTGTTTCGCCATCATGGGGGATTGTGACATATCACTGACTCCACAATAGTGTATCAACATCACAGGGGACTGTGACAGATCATTGACTCCACAATAGTGTATCACATCACAGGGGACTGTGACAGATCATTGACTCCACAATAGTGTATCACCATCACAGGGGACTGTATAGTAAATTCAAATACCTTTAAATGGCTAAATATGCGTATTCTGATTATTTTCAGAGTAGATTTGATGTTTGTAAGGACAATGAAAACAGATGTCAGCGTCAACAATTTATTAACATTTAAACAAATTATATAATACAAAGACATGGTTCAACAAGAATGAAAACATAACTCATATAAACACACAAACCTTCTAATTCCAGCACTGTAAATTAAAGAAGAAACTCCGGCTAACTACACATATAAGATACTAATTCATATTACGTAAAAACGCAATTTAAAAAAAACTTACTTCAAAACGAGGAGTAAAACAGACAAGAAAACAGATCTATAAACTACGTGAAAGCACATTTACAGATTTCACCGCGAAGCCGACATTGATAGATTGATATTAAGTGACGGAAAACAGTCTGAGAGCAGATAATGTACATTGTCCGTTTTGAACATTGTTTGAAGAATATGAAATTTGAAAAATATATTTTTTCTAAAAAAGATCTGCTTTTATCTCAACTTCATTTATTAAAAAATCACCTTTCATTCAATAATTTATTCATTCATTCCTATATTATCTATTCATGAAACCAATCATTCTGTGTTTATTCATAACTACATTAATGAATTAGATATGACATTTATATATTCAATCACGGATTCACACATTCATTCATACATACATGCACCAAGATTAATAATTTATACAAAAGATTACTTTATTAATAAATACAAAATGTATTCATGGCAAATGCATTCTTTCATCTTAATACAAAGAAATATTTCAACATTATATATACATGTTCTATTACAACCTTTTTCTAGGTTCAATGATACATGACAATAATTAATACTGTAAATTGTAAGACATGGATCACTGGATGGTCGCTTTGTTTATCCGCACTTCTCCTGTCTGCCGTTCTGTCTATCTCCGTGTGTTACGCAGCTGCTCCAATCTGGCCAATAGTTTGTTTTTATCCTTTCACAATATTCCACTAAATTAGGATACTTTTCTGAAAAATCATACAAATAATCTTATTAAGATAATTTTAACACGTACAATTGCATAGTGTTGATGCCAAAAACAGTGACACCTGTCTTTAACGGCCACCTCTATATAAAGGCCATCTATCTATAAATGCCATTTATCTCTGCTTCTTTGAGTGACCTTAATAATCAGGTTTTACTGGACTCGTTATCACAGCAAGCATGTTTTATTTTTAGTAACATTTACAAAGAATCTACTGAAAAGAAAACAAATGATATATGTGTAATATATAAGAACTTAGGTGCTAGTATTTAACACTCGCGTTTGTAATCTCTTTTTTCTATATCTAAATCCAGAGAGTCAGAAAAACCGATTTTTTCACATATGTACTCAGTATGTATAGATATATTAACAACATAACATTTAGTGGTAAAACAGATTTGACAAATAAAAAAACGGAGAGAAAGTTACAAAAGACAACTGTAGCAGGAAATGTGTCCTGGCCACCTTTTATGTGACTGAAATAATTCATCTTCGCGAAAATATGTGACGTATGTTTCGGTAAGTGCGGTAAATGACATAGTGTTTGGCTTACCTTTTAATAATGTTGGTACAACTGTGTGTGGTAAATGCCACAACAGCTGTGATAATTGTCCAAATACAGCACAATCTACTTCAGTTGGGGAATCTCCAAAAAAGTAGGGTTTGTCACCTGAAAATAGTCATTAAAACAATCTATGAAAAACATTCACGCGCTGTTTCCTTATCTAATCTGAACTTCTACATTAAATGTGCTTATTTCACTTCGAATGTGATATTTTTACCGAGAATGATTTGAATAATTCTCGTCTTACGTCCTTGTTATCGCGACATTCAGAATTGATAAGACGAAGAAAATGAGCACGCCTACACGTTAAAACGAATATCTATATTTCAGTGTAATTATATATACTTCATTTCCTCATGTAATTACACGTATATATTTTTTTTCTACTTCATGTAATTACATGTATATCTAAAATTTTGTTACTTCATGTAATTACATGTATATCTAAAATTTTGGCTACTTCAAGTAATTACATGTATATCTATAATTTTTCTTACTTCATGTAATTACATGTGTATCTATTTTTGTTAATTTTTGTATATATATATATATGTTTCTTCATGTAATCACACATATATGTATATATTTCATATTTTTTTTATATCAAGTTGTCATTAACAGTTAGTAATATTGTATTGTCTCCATTTTGCTATGTTTATTGCTACAAATGGTTCTAAGAACTTACGTGGATGTGAATAAAAACTTGGATAGGACAGAGAAACAACATTAAACTAAAGCAGATATCCTTTCTGTCTGAACGTTACCTAAGTATTGTGACAATGCTTTGAAGTCACCATCCAAAATATCCTCCACCTCCTTCTGTGTGTGACGCCCAACTCCTTGATCATACGTCTGTTTTCGCGCCAAATACGTCACGATCATCATTTTGAGTCTCCACCATTTAGACAGATTTATGACCTCCTTCGTTTCGTCATAAATCCAGCGGAACAGAATCATGATCCTGTCAAAATCAACAATGACATGGATATTTGGGGGAAAAACAGTAACTTTCATTTCAAATTTAGAATTTGATATAATACAGCCGGGTAATGAATTTAACTGCATCATACAGCTGTTTCGTCCTTCTAGGACTTGCAAGTGATGCTATGGACCTAAATCCCGAAGCCAGGGAGGCGAATGAGGGAAATCGAATGCATGCACGGAGCGCACAGAGTGATATTCCAGCCATGTATACAAAAGGAAAAACGACGAAAATCATATTTAATTAATTAGAGTGAGCTCCCTTTGCTGTTAATCTTTCGTTTTGAAGGATTGAAATCATAAACTCGCATAGAAAAAGTTGTACATCTTAAAGTTGTTATCTGAGAAACACAATTCATAAAGGGAAAAATATCACTTGGTGTAAAAAGTAAATATAAGTGTTTGGTACGTACCAGTAAGTATGCTCGTCCACCATCCTCTGGAATGCACGTGCAGTGGCGTGTTGTTCTGGAGTTAATTTTTCGTTGATATCTTTAAAGCGTTTCTCGCGGAGAAACTTGATACAAAATTCTGTATCCGGAACAGAAACTCCATTGTATTCTATCCATGGAATCTTCCCTTTAGATCCCCGCTTTCTGTCATACACATTCTGAAATTAGCAAGAGTTGTGTCCCTTTATATATCAGATGCATTGCATCGACTTCATTAACGTTTTCGCTATAATCAGTTTGATTTAATGACAAATATATTTCCAAAGCACATTATTTATTTCTTATTCCACACAGCTTTGTCTTATCTATTGTTCGTACATTTAAATTCATTCTTTGTTGAATTTAAATTCATTCTTTGTTGAATTTGTTGAACTTTTAGGCCAAACACCTCCCCATCTAGTTTTTGATACCTTTTTCGACCAACTCTTATTTCATTTGTTGCCTACAAAATTTCGGTAATTATTGCCTTTAACATTACTGATGAGTCATACAGGAACAGAAAAAGCTGTTTATGTGAAAGTTTTACAGTCGTCGATATGATGTTATTGAGAAATATTCTATTTGAAGTTGGACCTGTTTCATATTTATCAGGTTGCCTGTTGATCCCGGTGTTGTATACCATCCTTTGAGAACATGGTATTACCTACTTGGATTGACCAAGGTTTACATGGCGACTGTCGTCGATGAAGCAAAGACGCTTACCCTTCCGAAACACCTGGTATTATTCTCCTTTTGTTCATATCTTGCCTTATCTTCACCAAATTTGGAGTTTAATTCAACATTCTATAGACATGTTGGTATTTTCTTTGGTTGTTTAAATAGCGGGATGGGAGAGGGGGAGGGGGTTTGGGTTTTGGTTTCGAAGTTAGAAACGCTTTCCTTGAAGTTTTATTTTTACGGATTTACAGCATGGTTTATTTCATATTCGAAAATACCTAAAAATAAAACTTAAAAGGTAACAAACCCCAGAATAGCGCTCAATAATTAAGTAAACTACGTCACACAACTGTATATTTCTTCCAGTTCTCGTCAGTGCTACACATGTCCGATCTCTCCACCAAAACATCATAATCGGCTTTCATGTATTTGTTAGATATTTTAGGTAATGTGAAATATTTTGTTGGGACAGCTAATGGTAACCAGAGACGTGTGTTTAGAGGCCTCCGTGACTCCCATTTGTTACGTAATGTTTAAGTCATTCGTCAATAGCGGTGCTTACTTACCTGATAGGGAATTTTAGCGACGCGCAGGTACGTTTCCAATTTTATGGCGAATGGGCTGAGGCTGGGTGCATAAGGGGCTCGAGTTGCTTGATGTAGTATCACGATATCTTGGGCGTAAGTGACGGGAGTGGAGTCACTACTAAAATGAAAGAAAACTTATATATTCTTGAAAATATTTTACTTAAATAGAAACACACAACTGTAGAGGTAACAAATATTTAAATCTATTATTAGAAAAAACGTGCTTTCAAAACAAACAAGCCAAATAATTAGATAGAGTTGTTATAGTTGTCTATTTCAAATATCAGTAAGTTACATCATCATCATCATCATCATCATCATCATTATCGTCACCCCACCGTCGGACTTGTAAAACAGTCTCAGTTTAAGAAAATAAAGAAAACGAGAATCGACATCTTAATACCGTTTTCAAGTCATTGTAAAATACAAAAGGCATTCTCATTAACTTTTAAATATTACAAGAACAGGTAGAGCAGACGACAGTCCCAGAGATGTGTCAACACGTGACAAAAACAGACAACACTCTTATTAGCGTTTATATGTTATAACAAGAACAGGTTATCAAAGGAGCAGACGACAGAAAGGTTAGTCTCATTAGCTAATGAAGAACAAAATACCACACGAGCAGACGACATTAATCAAGAAAAAGCACGTGTATTCTTACCGTTTTCTCTTGCGTCTGTACAGAATTCCAGGGGCTAGGAATGCCATTACCAACACGAATCCCCCTATCACTGGCCCTGGGGTCAGGTTCTTCAAAGCGTCGTCCATTCTCATTCTGTCAACATAAGAATGAATTTCACATTATTTTCGTAAAAACTGTTCCGTTCACAGAAATAATACTTTATACAGCAATGTCTCACAGGAACATTGTCGTATTTATTGTGCATTACATACCTGCCTTATATAAAACTAAGTGGTGCTTATCGCCATAACACAAAGGTCTGATCGACATACAAAATAAAGATACAATACCTATTAGCCTGTGTGGTCCTAGTTTATATGCACTAAATATGACACAATCAGCTTGTGCATACCTTTGTAATCCTTTGTATGTCGGTCCACCTCAGTTTAAAAGTTTGTACTACTGTTAAACATAAAGCCGTGATATGTTCTCCCACACTGGGTGTGTACATGTATATAAATATATCAACAGTTTCCTTGCGCCTTGGTTGTAGTTATCTGATGCGTTAAGTTTAAGTATTTTATAATTGGATGCGAGTAGCACACCGCCCTGTTGATTCAGTAAACACTGGTATGAAGTAAGTCCAGGTCGATATGGACATTAAACCACACCAAACACTGCTTGTGAAAGAAACTATTTTATTGGCTAGTAATTGTGTCCTCACGGGGTGTAGCAGATTGACGTTAGTACACAGCAAAGTAATCATATCACAGTGGAACGTGAAAAATGCCAAATGTCACAAAAACCTAGCTACTGCCGTGGAGTGGTCACGAATAGAAAACAAAGATTAACATCTACTTGTTACATATGTCTCTACCGTCTTAGGGTTACATTTGTAACAAAGCGAAAAACATTTAGCAAAATACCAACACGTCTAGAGAGTCTTATCCCTCAGTTTGACGTAACTACGGCAAAACACAAGAAAGATTTACCCGTGGAGCCCTAAACAAAAAACAAAGAGACCAGGTATTCCGGAACAGTAAACGTATTTTACGTCATGCAAATGTTGAACAAGGTGACAATCAATGCCATTTCTTGAATATTCTGTTAAGAATTAAAATGTGTCTAAAACAACGAATTACTTCAAAATGGCATATGCCGATGTTATTTTCATCGCCAATTAAGGGAGAGTTGAGATCTCCCCAATGTTCATTATTAATCTTAGTCAGCAAATGAATTTTAATATTTGTGAATAGTCTGCACGGTTTACAATTAACCTTTTGACGTCCTATATACACCTCACAATATAAATATATGGTAACGTGGAATATGAGTAGATTTAATCATAAAACCATATGACCTCATTATCTGATATACTTCTCATAAGTAAAAAGGGCTGCCATTGTTCTGATATTCACGGGAGAGATTTCTTTTGAATGGACGGTTTGCTATCTGAAAACAGTTTAATCTGGTGTTAATTACTGTTTTTTATTTATTTATTTTTTGACATTGACACTGGATCGTGAACAATAGAAGGAATTTCTTGCCTTCAACGCCAAATTTATAAAGAACAAAACAAGTTTTATAAAAAGCAGTTTTTACATGATTTCGTTAACGGCGGTGAGTTTTAAAACGATCTAAATATATTCAGTTCTATATTAAAATACGCGCCTGGTTTATGTAGTGACAACCATATTTGGAAATTCTAAAACGAAATCTGGCTGTTATAACCCCACCTTCACCCAATCCCTATTATTTCTGATTTGCATGATGAAAGGACTGAATAAGATTTCCTTTTTTTAATGTAAGGATTATTGAAAAAAGTATTGATATACTGGCTGAAATGTAACTTTTTATTGGATGTTACTCAAAACCCTGCAATGACATACGGTAAAAGAATTCTGAGGAGTTAAATTTTTCGAGAATGGAATAAAACGCATTATACATTGAAAGTTATAAGAATAGTGAAGGAAACGAAAGTCCATTTTATAACTTCCGAGAAAATTTCCCCCTTTATCATCAAGCTTTTTATAAAACCACGAAAATTTTAACTATCGACAAAAAAACAGTATACTATTTCAGTAGATATCTTTCATAAATCCCAGTAGATAAACAAATAAATTATGATAAATTACTTCAACGTCTCACCAAATGTTAAAATAAAAAAACTTTTTAAAAAAAAAAACCAGCACGTGAACATACATAATCATAATCCAAACTCAAAAAGTCAATAAAACAAGAAAAACATATGAAGTACAGAAAGATTTACAGGGATACTCAGCAAAAATATAACAAGGATTGGCATAGAATTAGGGTGAAATTGCTAATTTACATAATAAATAAGAGAAAAACTTACATAAGATACTTAAACATCTATAAATAAACATTGTAAATCTATTTAATTACGTTATGAATGTGTTTATAAATGATTGTGTATATTTATGATGAATTCAATATTTGGTACAAATCTGGGACGTATGATAGAGGTGTTTCATACAGCCTTGTAAAAATATATACGATTAATTTCCGTCATTTTTATTTACAGTGTAATAGACATACTATTACGTAATGCTGTCGTTTTTAAACGTAAACGTGTGGTGTGTTCCAGTAATGATTAAATATAATTATGCAATGATTCATATTTACAAATATAGAACTTCTGTTGAAATTATCTGAAAACGTAATATCTATCTTGAAATATATTAATATTACATTAATAACAGGGAAATATCGACAGAGATGAAACATGATAACAATTTCCTGATTATCACACATGCTGTCTTCTGAAGAGAATTTTTAAAGTGCACTATAAGATAAGATTTAGGAAAGTATTTACACTTCTGTTTAAACTTCCCTTTAACCGCCACAGGTAGATACCATTTGTTTGTAATTCTCATCATCTATCGCAGTTAAAATAATAAAAATATACTGGAGGGTCACTTAACAGTGACCACTTAATTTGTAAACACCTCTGCTGACTTCCTTGTAATCTTAAGTAACAAAAATTACAGAGTGTTTTACTCGGCATTACATAAGAAGATAATAACTGTGTCAAGATAGATCAAATTTTGCGGTATTTATTCTTTTTCCTTGAAAGGAAATTGGAGTCGGGAAGAATCCGTTTTATCATTGTCTCTGTTGAGTAATTTTATATCCTCCAAATTTCAACTTTTTAGATACCGTTTAACTTATTTTTAATAATTATGCCGAACATCAAACCTTTCAATATCTTGAACTCATTCTTTAACTAAGAGCATTTAATGTGAGCCGATCAGAGTTTAACAATGTGAACACCAGACGGGGTTAACTAGTGAAAAAACCGATAAATTGATGTACCCTACTGGGATGTCTCCTTGTGGTCTCGATGCTATCTGGGGCATCACTATAAAACTTTAAATCGCGAACAACATCATCGCGTGAGCGCGAGCTCGTGGTAGCCCGGGGCTGCTATAAATAAATCTACCCACGAACAGCATACGCATGTTAGACTAGCCGAATAGGTAGCTATAAACATATTAAATGAAATTCGTGACTTTTTCTCGAAATATGATTTCATCAAATAAAAAAATGAACAAACAATATTTAGAAACATTTAGGGAGAGCTTCCATGGTAGAAAATATTTAAGAATTGTGTCGGATAATTTTCAAACGTAAAGACTTAGTTCTGAAATTTCATACGTTGAAATACTGCAAACGTAAGGAAATACATTTGCTTACCTCAACAAAACCTGTTTTGTTTGTGGGTTTCATGCAGAGGTATTCACATATTTTAAGCTGACCTTAATGCCTGTCATTTTTTTCCAAAAAAAATCAAGATATGTTACCTATAAGATTTTTCTGGAATGAAGACTACATGAGAAATGCATAGTCATGCTGTTAAAAACACACAAGTGAATAGCGCATTTAAATACAAATATAGAGTAAAGCCAAACAATGAATTAAACTGCATCATACACCTGTGTCGTCCTTCCAGGACCCGTCAGTGATGGGAAAGGCCTGAAGTCTATGAGGGAACTGAGGAATGTTTAAAGTAAACGAAAGTAACATCCTTGATAGGGATGAGCATTAACCCTATAATTCGACCAATTTCGTTATTTTCATAAATCAGTTAATTTTAGAACAATGTCAAGTATATGTGTTTATTAGGAATCGTGTTACTATTCGGATGAAATAAAAAGTGACACGTGCAGGTTACAGCAAACCTCGGAGACCAAAAGTCAACCACCTGTAATCTTTGAAATGATAAAATTGATCGTTATATACTTCATGGATATTCACCATCTCATAGCTTTGGAAATGTACGTTAGTATGCATGATTAACCTTCATTTGTGTCTCTTTTCTGAATGAAAAAATACAAACAACATCCAAACCTGAATGCACCATTTCTGTTTGGCTTCAGGTTAAAAGTGTCTATGTTAAGGGTTTGATATAATCGGGAAACCTTTAACACATTTAATTAGAGTATGTCGATATGAGTTCCTAGTGATAATGTTGTTAATTGCAGCGAACAGTTTGTGCTGGTTTACACATGTTGGCTTCCTACACAAAAAGGATTGGCGTGAAATTCCAACGTGCAGGTGACAACAAATGTACCTTGATTTATTGATACTAGATAGCTGAGAAATCAATAACATTATGTCTGACCATATTTATAGGATGTTAAGTACACAAATCTTTGGAGAGTAAACATTGTACATACATTCAAATTTATCATTTTTTAAATGCATATTTCCATAGTATTATAATATATATCATATATACATTTCAGTTTATTTGTTTACGCGCAGTCCTTCAACTCGTCACATGTTAAGATCAAACAGACTTCAGAAGTACATGTGTGTACGCTATATGCAATACTGTCCGACATAAACTGAGTGTACAAACATCCAAACGTGTTTCTCGGCGGAGTTTGTATACAACGTACTTAACAAATAGTTTAGTATAATAGATTTTCCGAGTTTGAAGATTCCTAAATGGACGTTATATATGCAGTAACAAGTATTTATAAATAGTCAAATTTAATAGATTTTATACAGAATTCGGGTACACAATGTACAACAATAAAGTTTTCAGAGTGCATGTATAAAGGCTTTTTGAGAAAAAGTCCGTTCCTAAAATTCTAATACATACATACATCCATATAAACTGGTTGCTTTTGTACATTTCAAGATAAATCTTAGGAAATGTCCACGAAAATCTTAAACAATTTAAAACCTACCTTGTTTTTCAGTCTGTCAATTCTCTGTCACAGATCCAAGTCACCACACTTATATAGCTGTCTGTATCCACGTGTCTATCTTGTTTGTTATGCTATTTATAATGTACAACAGGTAAACCGGAAGCTAGTTAAAAGCTACCTCTGTTGTGATCGTGTCTCAGATCACTCCCTGGGCTGTGAAACAGAGTTCGTTAATTAGTACTGCCACGCACTTTAACTTCTAATGAAAATCAATTCATCAGCATATGATGTATTACTCGTATTTGATATCATACTGC